ACTATAAATATATAAAATCTTGCAAGAAATCTTTTCCTTAAAATATCTAGAGCAGTTTACTTAAGATATTGCAAAAAAATATATATTTGTAATCTATCACTTTTATTATACTCATGTTATTTTTAATATATGCTATTTGTAAAATAAAGATATACTATAATTATAACATGTATATACATATTATTTAATAAACTGGGTTATTAAACTGGGTTATTAAACTGATTTGTTAAACTGATTTGTTAAACTAGTTTGTTAAACTGGTTTAATAAACTGGTTTACTCCAGTTTAAAACTGGTTTACTCCAGTTTAAAACTGGTTTACTCCAGTTTATAAACTGGCTTACTCCATTTATTAGCCTGGTTTAATAGCATAGTTTACTTTGGTTTATTAAATTTTAATCTACTCCAAGTTAGTTTGGAGTCAAACTGGAGCCACTTTGGAGTGACCTACTCTATTTAACAACCCTACTTGTGGTAATTAGTTTTTTTTTTGTTGATAATTGTTCTTTTTATCAAGAATGCAGTATACAGTCAGACCCTCTAAATGCACCCTTTCTAAATGCAGTACCTCTTTAAATGCACATCTTCTTTTGGGCCCAACTAATATTATATTTATAGACTTTTACATTGGGAGAATTAAATAAGTGCAAATCTGCAAAAACCTGCAAAAATGCAGATTTTTGCAGAATTTTTTGTAAAATTTCCTATATTTTGAAATTTTGCACAGAACTGTATTTAATTTTTATAGCTATAGCTGGTGAGTTTGAAGTTTTGCATAGATTTTCATTTAATATATTATTTAATTTTTTTGCAAATCTGCGCAAAACAGCACTAAAAAATTTTTTCTAATATATTTTTTTAAATGCAATACCTTTCTAAATATATGTGCTAGAGCTGGTTCCGACAACATGCATTTAGAGAGATCTGACTATATTTTGTTCACAATTTTCTTTTTTTTTATTTTCCTATATATAAAAGTATTGCAATATATTATGATAACTTTCATCAAAAATTTGAAATCTTCACAAATCCTATTAATTGTGTCATATTGATTAACAAGAATTTTGAATCTTTACAAAATGCTACATCTATCTGTAATGCTTCTTCTTTTCCAGAGAAGGATTTCTTAAATATTGATCAAAATTATAAAGATAATTCTAAAGGACTAGACAAATATAATTCTAAGTAATATAAAAATACATACCCTCTTTGGTCCTATTTTACAGTATCTAAAGATAAAAAATAGATTAATTGTAAATTATGCAAACCTCCAAAAGGAAAATATAGAAGAGATTCTGGTATTAGTACAATCAAGCACCATTTTGAAAATAACTATAAAAAAATATATAATTAATATCAACAACCACTATATACTATAATGCATTATGGCGTTAATGATGAAGAGAAGGTAAAAGACTAAATAACCTTTTTGTTTGATAGATTGTCTGCAACCAGCAAGCATTTTGTGTTGTTGAAGATAAAGACTTTTAGATGCTTATTTTTGAACTCAATCCTTGTTACAAAATACCTACAAGGCAATTAATTTTGGCTTATATTTGGCGATTGTATAAGTGTGAATGAGGGCTGCTATATAGTTATTTTAAAAAATTTGGCTATAAAGTTTTAATAACAACTGATGCATAGTTTTCATGTACAAACCAAGCATTTCTGTTAGTTATATTATATTGGATTGATAACCAATAGCAGATGAAGTGTATACTTCTAGATTTTATCTCACTTCACAAAAGACATACTAATAACTTTTTAGCAGAAACAAACTTCGATTTAATTGAAGACTTTGGTTTAGAAAAAAAGCTTTTATTAATAACTGCTAATAATGCTGGTAATATGAATGTCTGTGATTAGCAACTTACAAGTATGTAAAATTTTACTATAGAAATATTGCTTTTAGCCGATTGAGATGTGCCACACATATACTTAATCTCACTGTCATAAATGGTCTTTCCAAAGTTGATATATTAACAAAAATTTCACAAGTATAATTTAGCATTTCCAACCACATCTAGAAGAATTAAAAAAAATTTTTTAATGAAAAACAAGCCATTTTTTGTATCTGACCTTGACTGCAAAACTAAGTAGAACTCGCTATATTTGATATTAAATAAGTTATATAGAATCTGGAAAATGATAAATATATTAGTAGCTTTAGTACCACAACTTAAAAATTTATATATAACTAATCAAGATTGGATTAATATTGATACAATAATGGTACTGCTAGAACTCATTTATAAAACAACCAAATTACTTTTCTTATCAAGCTATCCAACTATTGGAAATGTGCATATGGTTTTTTTTGTGATTATAATGCAACTGATTGAAGCTAAAAATAAAAAAATTTTACCAAAATCTCAAATTGCTGAAAAAATTCTTGAAAAACTTAACAAGTATTGGAATAAATTACAGTCTGCCCTTTCAGAAGCAGTATTACTTGATCTGTTATCTAAATTTTCTACATTTGGATCTAAAACAATATGTATCAGATAGTTAATAAAATATATCAAAGCTATGCTCCCTTGTTAATAATGCAAATGATCAAAATTTGAAAACTAATTAACTAATGTCAGCTTGTAACTACTTTCGAATCCAATTAAAGCAGTTCTATAATAAAATGTCATGTAATTGTAATGTGTTAGATGAGTACTTGAACATACTCGATGAGGATATAGATACTTTTGCATTTTGAAAATAAAAGTTCTTAAACCCACAATAGTTACTTCTTGTTAATATGACTCATGATTACCTTATTGTATAGACAACTAGTATTCCAAGTGAAGAGGCTTTTTCGGGTGCTAAACATACTTTAAGTCCAATACAAAACTGCTTAGATAATAAAAAGGCATATGTAAGTCTTTGTTTAAAGACATAGTATGATTCAGGGTTGGCAAAAACTGATTTTAAATTTTTTTAAGTAAAAGTTTAATATTTGTAAACATGTCTTTTTTTATAATAAAATTTAAATTGTAATAAAAAAAAGTGATTATCAAAGTTATTATTATATTTGATATATATGATATATATTGTATATATAATATATATTGTATAAACCTATTAAACTGCCAAGACTAAACTGGTTTCACACAGAGTTGTGAACTAGTTTCTAACTAGTTCAGAACCAGACTTTTTAGGGACTAGACTGGAACCAAACCAGATGGACTTTTTAATATCTCTAATAAAAAAAGATCTGTATAAGTACTTCCGGTATATACGTATATAACTTAAGATTAGGTAGCTTATAAAATATTGTATCTCTGGTAGTATACAAAAATATGATACTTTCAAAACATCTTCTCTAGAAAACTGTTAAAAAAAAAAAAATTTCCAAATACTTAGACATTAGCATTTCTTTTTAAATCAGGTTCTCAAGCACTTAGGATGTATTAAAAAGCTTCTGTCACTTTCAAAATCATATTCACTAAACAAGAATAATACAAATATTTTAAAACTTTAATGAAAAAACCTGATTGATTTTTATGAATTACAATCCAAGATGGAACTCTAGTTGAATGTAAAATTTGTCTTATGACTATTTGAAGTGTTCAAACCAACTTGTATATACAAATAAAAGTAAAACTTTATTTATATAGAATATATAAAATATTAGTTTTATAACGATTAATATCATGAAATTTGTTTTGTCGAAGCAAATAGTTGGCTGACATGTGCCGCACAGCGGCACATTTAGCCAATTATTTGCTCTAACAGAACAAATTTCATAATATTAATCATTGCATAACCAATATCAATATTATCGATGTTATTGCAATTATGATTATGATTTTCAAGTATTTTTGGCTAATTAAGTTTTAATTTGAGATTGTTGTGCTTATGTAATAATGTACAAAAAATAACAAAAAGAAAAAAATCTATAATTATAAGAGTTTGTACAATAACTTCTTTTAACATGTACTCTAATTCTTTATTATAAAAAGTCTATATAATTATGTAATATATAGTGATATTTCTTGTTAAAAATTATTGATACACTAAACATATTGGATAAGTATTTGAAAAAAAATTTAATAATGTTGATATAATTGTTATAATGGACAGTTATTATAATGCAAAAGCAACTTTTATTATACAGATTATGTAAAATTACAAACTTAATCAAATTGGTTAAAAAATTATTTGGCCAATTTTTATTAAAAATTATAAAAATAGCTATAAAAAATTTTTTACAGCAAATTTTGAGACAACTGATAAAATTTGCTAAATGATTTTTCTGCCAATCCGGTTAGAATATTGATCTTGGCATGATCAGTATATATATATATATTTTTTTTTAATATTAAGATGACTACTTAGGCCCTTGGTATTTTATTAGTACAAGCGGTAGGCTAATGTTAATTTTAGCATCGGCTTTACATATTATATCAGTATCACAAGAGTACAATTAGTCACACATACAACTTTTGATTGCCTATTTAAGTAGTCCGCCCGAAGCGTTAGTGCTATGCTAGGGGTTCTACAC